CAGGCACTAAACTTGGAGCAGCCACCCGGCTTCGGCGGATTCGGCGACTTCGGAGCGGGTAACTTCCCAAACATGCCGGGCGGGCCCGGCGATTTTGGCGGCTTTGGCGGCGACAAGCCTGGAGACCAAAAGGAGGACAACGCCGGGGGCTTTGGCGGTGGCTTCCCGGGTATGGGTGGTGGGGGTGGCTTCCCCGGCTTTCCCAAGCCCGGTGGTCAATCGCAGGCTGGCGGCGGTGGCGGTGGCCCCTTCCCTGGAGTTGACATGGGTGGCATGATGGACATGATGGGTGGCATGATGGCGGATGCTTTGAACTGCGGACAGAAGGAGCTGGAAGTAGCTTGCAAAGACACATCTTTTCACAAAAAGACGTTCGCGCCGCTCTGGTACTGCCTTATTGCCACCGGTGACCGAGACTTTGGCCCCGTCCCACCGTGCAACTCCCCCATCAAGCTCGGCGATGCCACAAAGTGTAAGAAGAGCGACGAGGACTTGCGCAAAGAGATGGAAACGGCCAAGTCCATGTGCTTTGGAAGGCTGAAAGAGCTCTACGACTTGCAGGCGCAGCTGGGTCAATGTGCCGTAGGCATCAAGCAGGAAACGGAGAAGGTGGAGAGCGAGCGCCAGGCTTTGCAGAGCATTCAGCATGAGGCAGAGGAGTGTGAGAAGACGAAAGCCAAGAAGAAGGCCGAGGAGTCCATGGGCTCTTCCTTCTCCGCTCAGGGGCAGGGCCAGTTCTGTCCCGCGCATGCGACGGAATTGAAGGATGCTTTCGCAAAGTACACTCTGGCCGTGGAGCAGTGCATCAGTGTTCAGGTCTCCGCTACTGTGCACATCCCTGAGATCGATATCGTAGTACCTGAGATCAAGGTCGGCGAAGTCCAGGGCACCTCCTTCAACATCCAGATGCCTGACTTCAATGCCCCGGACTTCACGGGCGATATTGTGGTGCCTGGCGGTGGAGGGAAGCTGAACGTGGCGGTGGAGCACCACGGGCACGGGCAGCAAGGCCAATCCGAAGGGCAGCAAGAAACAAAGTTGACCTTCGACCAGCGTGTTGCCAACATCAAGGCGGACATCAAGACATGCGAAGAAGCGAAGCCGAAGATGCAGGAAAAAAGCAAGGAGATCGCTGAATCCAAAAGCACCGTCCAGGAACAGAAGCAGAAGGCCCGAGAAGTTCTTGTCTTGTGCCAAACAGTTGCTTAGGGCCCAGGTAGGCAGCACCTTCCCGAGGCCTGCGAAACGGCCGGCAGCTTGTTGCAGACCGGCGCCAGCCCTGAGGCCACTATCGCCATCCAGGCCCGCCTCATGGTCTCAGTCCTGCTGATAACCTCATGTCCCTCTCTGAACAGGTCTTCAGCATGATGAAGATGACCTGGGGCTGTCGCGAGGTTGCCACGGCAATCGATGGGCTCGTGGCGGTTTTGCAGTCTTGCTGAGCTCCAGCTTGAAGACCATGCTGTCCAGATCTCGCCAGTTTTTGGATGGCCGTGATCAAAAGGAGCTCAAGAGCGATGTCGTTGATGTTGACTGCAGAATCTTTCTCTCACCTAAAAGCTTGGCACTTGCATTCTGTTGGGATGTCGCCCTTGGCTCCAGAACTCCACCGAGTTTCCATGTTGGTTCATGTC